CAGCACTTTGGGAGGCCGAGGCAGGCAGACCACTTGAGGTCAGGAGTGACCAGAAGACAGGAGTGTGACCCTCTGTCACGCCCAGACAGGGCCACTAGAGGGCTCCCTGGTCTAGCGGTAACGCCAGCGTCTGTGAAGACGCCCGTGGCCTAGTGGACCTTGGTCTAGCGGTCATGTCAGTGCCTAGAAAAAGCACCCATTACTTAGCAGACCGGGGGAGTTAGAGAAGACTGCTCCACCACCTCTCATGGAGGGCCTGACTGGTGTCAGCCGCCCACAGCCATCCAGAGGCCTAACCATCTCCCTGTGATGCTGTGCTTCAGCGGTCACGCTCCTGTTTCACTTTCATGTTCCACTCTGTACACCTGGCTCCGCCCTCTACAGAGCAGCAGCAAAATGAGTGAAAGTATTGAAGTCTTTGATCTTTCTGAAAAGAGCATAGAAGAAATAATGACGTAAGCTGTCCTCTCTCTCTCTGCCTCGGCTACCTAACAGGGAAGGGCCCCCTGTCTGGTGGACACGTGACTCACGTGACCTTATCAATCACTGGAGATGACTCACACTCTTTACCCTGCCCCTTATTATCTAATAAATATCAGCGCAGCCAGGCATTCAGGGCCACTATCGGTCTCCCCGTCTTGGTGGTAGTGGTCCCCCAGACCAGCTGTCTTTTCTTCTCTGTCTTGTGTCTTTATTTCTACGATCTCTCATTTCCGCACACGGGGAGAAAGATCCACAGACCCTGTAGGGCTGGTCCTTACAGTGGCGCAATCATAGCTCACTGCAGCCTCCAACTCTTGGGCTCAAGCAATCCTCCTGCCTTGGCCTCCTGAGTAGCTGGGGCTAGAGGCATGCACCACCATGCCTCTAAAACTTTGCCCGTGGCAAAGTTTTAATTTTTTTGTAGAGATTGAGGTCTCACTATGTTGCCCAGGCTGGTCTTGTTCTCCTGGGCTCAAGCAATCCTCCTGCCTTAGCCTCCCAAGAAGTGGGGATTACAGGTGTTAGCTACCACAGTCCACTAAAAAGATGAGTTCTGTAGGTTTCACAATAGCGATGTTATTTACAGAAGTGGCTGGGGAAGTTATAGATCTTGCGACCCCTGGTTACATGACTCTGGAGCACATATAGAAAAGGAAGCTAAGGGATGGCAGGTCATTGTTTAACCCACAACTGTTGTTTAGCAAAGTTCCAGCACCTTCATGATTCTAACCTTGTCTTATGAATGTGGCTTCAGGCCAGGCACAGTGGCTCATGCCTGTAATCCCAGCACCTCGAGAGACCGAGGTGGGTGGATCACTTGAGATCAGGAGTTGGAGACCAGCCTGACCAACATGGTGAAACCCTGTCTCTACTAAAAGTACAAAAGTCACCTGAGCATGGTGGTGGGCGGCTGTAATCCCAGCTACTCAGGAG